TGTTTTCAGTCTGCCCAGTGCTGGGATTACAGGGGTGTTCCACCAGGCCTGGACTTGGCAACCAGCTCAGCATTCCCGGGGGTGGAGCCTGACAGGCATGTGGTGCTAGGGATCAAACCCTGGCCCCTGCACTTGCCCAGGCACTTAGTCCGCTCAGCTATTTTGCAGGCCCTCAGGGTAGTATTTAATAAAAGAATAAAAGCCAATGGCTACAGAATTAGGTGAACCCAGGGGCATCAGCACCATTGGCATTGGAAGCTAGAGCTGCCTTCTATTTCACTAAATCTGTGTTAGTCTCAGGGGTCTTCAGAACACACCTGATGGGTACGTGACATGGGGAGCCAGGCACAAGGTCTCCTGAGGGGTGGAAAGATGAGCTGGTGTCACTGGATAGCCTGGAGCAGTGGTAAGATATATACCCTGGCATTCCTGCCCATCTCTCCACCAACCTAACCTCTTTACCTTAGCAAAAGAAATAAAGACCAACAAGACCAATCAAAGAACCAAAGACCTTCTTCTACCTATTTCCTTTCATTTGCTGCCTAACAGCATTAGTGTTGAGGATAACCAGAGACATCACTGATGCGCTAGTGATCTGCACAATCGCAGCACAGTGACTGAAGGCTGTACATACAATTGTGATCCTCTTGTCTGTGGGCACCTGCGCCGACTGGCTTAGTGCGAAGGCGATGTCTTTTCAGACTGCAAGTTTGTGGCTGGCAGAAGGGATGGGAGGCAAGATCCCCAGCTGCCCCAGTGATGGCACCTTTTGGAAAGGGGGCCCAGGTTCAAATCCCAGCTCTCTCCACCCCAGCCCTGTGACGCCAGGCCAAAGATTAGAGTGCTTTACATTCTCAATATTGACATCTTCAAGAAGAGGACACGTAGAGAGTCTTCCTTACCAGGGGTAGTGATGATTAATAGTAGTAAAAGTGCTTATCATGGTTTTCAGCGCACACATTAAGGGAAAAGAACTATTTTCACTTATTTGAGAGTTGACAAATCTGAGACTTGGCTAGTTAGTGAAAAGTCAGAACTAAGGTACCGTTCCTGTTCATTTTAAAAGCCGCTTCACTACTTAACCCTTTTCCCATATTTTCAGCATCAGTGCCCAAGTAAGTAGGTCACTATGACAGGTGGTGGAACAGGACCTACAACAGGACCTACAAAGCCTCTTCAAAGAGGCTTTGAAATGAGTTGAGACCCCACTGCGGTGTGCAAACTCTTACTGGTCTTCACCCCTCCTAAACTATACAAGTGTCTCAGCCAATATAGATTGCACAATTTCACCCTAAAAATAATACCCCCAAGTCCATACCACTTTATACAGCAAGTTGTTGGTGCCATTTATCACCCTGGGCAGAGCTGAGCCTCAGCTTAAGCAGCCTCGGAACCCTCTTAGTCTTACAAAGGCAGGCAGCAGGAACTGGACAGAAGCAGGGGCAAGGTCACAGGAATCGTCTACCTGGTTGTCTTTGCTTGGAATCTTCTCTCCATGCTCTGAGGAGACTGTGCAAGGTGCTGGTCTCCGTAATTTCTCTAGCCAGTGCTGAACTGAATTCTTCTCTTGGTATACAACCTTCAATCAGCCAGGTGCAACTAGAAGGAAAATGAGTATCTAATCCAGCGACTGCTCTGGGCGCTGTTAAAAAAAAAAAAAAAAAAAA